TACTACGACTACCACCTACTACAACCTACTACTACTACTACTACTACTACTACTACTATTACTACTACTACTACCACTACCACTACTACTACGACTACTACTACTACTACGACGACTACCACGACTACTACTACTACTACTTACTACTTACTACTACTACTACTACTACTACTACTACTACTACTACTACTACTACTACTACTACTACTACTACTACTACTACTACTACTACTACTACTACTACTACTACTACTACTACTACTACTACTACTACTACTACTACTACTACTACTACTACTACTACTACTACTACTACTACTACTGCTACCACTACCACCACTACTACTACTCGATCTTCTATTCCTACTCCTACTCCAACTCCTACTCCTGCCTCCTCTTCCTCCTCCTCCTCTTCCTCCTCCTCCTCCTTCTCCTCCTCCTCCTCCTCCTCTTACTGTTACTGCTACCCCCCTTCAAGCACGAGTCACCACAAGACTGCGACACAGCTCGGGGCAAGCCTACAACTAGACATCAAACAATCATTTCCGACGCAGCATCGCCTGAGAACCAACGCTCTTCGAGGCGACGTCGGACGTCCACGGCGACGACGGAGACGCGACCGACAAACGACACGTCGCCGAGGAACGGGCCAGGACCGCTCCTAACCCTCCCCGCTCACTCCTCCCACCACTTTTGCAGCAGGCGGCGTGCAAAGGCGCCGCGCGGCGCCCGTCCCGCCTTTGCTGAGCCGTTCCACGCGCGAAGCACCTGGAAGACCACGGCCTGCAGCTCGCACATCTTCTGGCCCTCCTTCAGCGCGATGGCCTCCAGGGGGGACCGCTGCAAAAGAGCCTCGTAGCTGTCGTCCGGGGCCACCCCGCCCCACGCCGCCTTCTGCTCTTCGAACACCTCGGCCGCCTTCTTGGCGTTGCCGCCCACGACCACCTCTCCCTTTAGGCACACGGTCACGCGCATCACTCCCACGTCGAAGCATGGGTTCACTGAGAACTCTTTCACCCAGACCGCCGTCTCTTCTGCATCCGAGTGCTGCATCCTCATGAGAACTCGACCGAAGACGGCGCGATATTTCTTCAGCTGGTTGGCGCAACTCTCCTGACTCAAGTGATGCTCGATGTCGCTCACTATGCCGCCAAAAATCTGGAGCTCGGGGGGTCCCAGATTGCGCCCGCTGCCGGCAGCCTTCGTCCGCTCCTCGTACTGCTGGTTCAAGGACTTCGCGCGGGTCACGAGTGTGTGGTCCTGGGGCATGTACACTTGGAACGCGTTCTGATGCTCCACCGTGCGCATGCGTGTCTCGAGATGGTGCACTAGACGCTTCATCGCTTGGTTCTCGCCCAACTCCTGCTTGGCCTTCTTCTGCCTGGGTGGCTCCTTCCCCGCCTCGCCGGGTCCCATCAGCCAAGATCCGTCGGGCATCTTCCTCGCGAGCTTCTTTCAGGTATCTAGAAAGGTCGGGCACGCGGTCCGAGACCTCGAAGTCTATGGTGTGATCTGTCAGGTAAGGCCGTAGATGTGCCTCGAGCGCGTGAGTGCGGAGTACTCTGAAATCGTCTGAGCCGAAACCGCACAACCGACACGTACCATCGACCTCCTGGATTTCGAAACCGCTACGACCCCGATCCGCTCGACATCGTCCATTTCGCATCGCCGTCGTCATGTGCTTCCTCGCCTGCGCGTGCGTGCTGAATATCGTGCCACATATCGCGCACTGGCTCGTGAAACAGCAAGCTCTCGCCATAACCAAGGCCCCATGCTCTCCCCCCTTCGTGTGCACATAGTGGGATGCCAACTGATTTATGGTAGGGAATACTGCCGGGCACTGCGATCCATCCTCCAACAAGGCCCAACATCGATAACGTCCGTCCCCTTCTTCATTGTGTTGCCTCCTCCCACTATTCTCGTACTCCTGCCTGTGCGTGAAATAGTGTGACAACAAACCACGAACATCGAATTAAATGAAATCTTCACGTCCTTCGAGGAGGAGGCGGGAGGGAGACATGTCGAATCTTTCCAACAGTGCCAGTCCGTCGTCGAATTTCGCTAAGTGTTCTACGTCGCTCAACCACTGCATGGCCCAGGGACACGTGGGCGCACTCAACTGTTCAGGGAGCGCGCTCTCACCGATCTGGACCTCGCCAAAAACAGCAGCAGGTACTTGGCGGCCGTCATCGGGGTGACGGAGGAGCTGCTGCAACCACTTCAAACGACGGACACGCAACTCCACGTGCAGGGCCGCCACCTTCAGCTTCGCCAAAACCTCCAAGTTGCTCAAGCTCCTCGTCTGGCCGTCCTCCTCCCACGCCACCCCGCGGAGCACGACCCTCGCTCTCCTCGCCGCAAAGCTCTCTAACTTCTGGAGGTCCTCATCCTGCAAAGGCCCCGTCGGTCTCACCAAACACTCCAGCCCCGTCAACAACGCGTTCACCACGTAGCGCTTGAAGAAAATCCCCCGCCACTTCAGGTCCGCGTCCGAGGTCCAGAAGCAACCCATCTGGTTCCAAGCAACTCTTCCAGCGGTAAGTCTCAGCCCTATCTCCTCCTCCTCCTCCCTCCTCCTCCTCCTCCTCCTCCTCCTCCTCCTCCTCCTCCTCCTCCTCCTCCTCCTCCTCCCCTCCTCCTCCTCCCTCCCTCCTCCTCCCCTCCTCCTCCTCCTCCGCCTCCTCCTCCTCCTCCTGCCCCCAGGGCAATGAACCTGGCGAGTGGGGGCTCGACCAGGGCCCTGGGGTGCACTAAAATCCCCCCCACCTTGCCTGGGGGGGGGGGTTGGCGGGGGTTGGGCGGTGGCCGCTTCCTCTCTCCCTCGCTCCTTGGCTTCCCCCCTCGGCTGCCGGCTCTCCTTCCCTTGCCTTTGCCTCTCTCTCCCGGCTTGCTCTCCCTGGGGGGGGGGGGGGCCTCGTGTGGGGCGGGCTCGGGCTCCCCCCCGCGTCCAGGTCCCTCCTGGCGCGGGGTCCCTGTGCTCGTCCCATGTGGGATTCCTCCTCCTCCTGGGGGCCCCCCTCTCCCCGGCTCCTCCCTCGCTTCGGGCCACCGTCCATTCCCCGTCACACCCCCCCCGCTGAGGGGTGGTTCGGGCTGCTAGGCGGGGATGGGCTCCCGCCAGGCCCAGTGGCGCACGTGCGCCCTTTTTACTGTCGCCGATGCTTGGTGGGACTCGCTTTTGTGTGTACGGCCTCGGCGGGGCGCAGACGAGGGACTCGCTTCTGAGTGAACTTTGCGCTTTGAAGTCAGGAGCCGTGGCTTGGAGGGACCCGTTTTTGGGTGAACAGCCGCGGCGGGGCGCAGGCATGGTACTCGCCTCACCGGTTTTGCGCTTTGTGGATTTATTGCTTCGCAATCGTTCCGAATCCGAATCCGAATCCTCCTCCTCCGCCTCCTCCCGGGCCTGGCGAAGACCGGTGAAATGAACATTGTGACGACTCCCGATCCTCGGGCACTCCCGTGACATTGGCGAGCTGCGGCATCTTCTCCGCGAACGCGAAGCAGAAGGCGACCTCCTCCACGTACGACACGCAGGCCGCCTCCTACAGAGGGACAGAAAGCGGCATGAACAGAATATCTCGAAAGTCCGCGCGGAGCTCCGAGACATTGTGTACGCCGTTGTTTGTTATTCGGCTCCTTCTTCGTGCCGTCGCATCCCATCACACCAGCCATGTGCCTCAGCTCCCGCTTGAAGCCCTCGCTGGCCACGATCTTTGCCTTCACGGTGGCCAGGTCCATCGGGCCGCGCAGCCGCACGCGCGTAGCGCACGCCCCGAGCGAGAGAACGGCGAAGACGGCAGCCTGCACGCGCGACATGGCTCCGAGCTCTGCTGGACGAAGCTACGTTGAGGCCTCTCCCGCCTGTGCGCGAGCGCTGCGCTCGAGCAGGAAGTGGATGTCGAGAGCCGAAATGCCTGCACGGGATTGGGCGCCCGAGTTATCCGGGGTAACTCGGGCCCGTGGTAACTCGGGTTTGGATTCCCGAAAAACGAACCCGAGTTAGCCCTGACCCGAGATACCCCTGATGATTCGGGGCTCTGGACGCCCGAATTGTCCGGGGCAAGTCGGGCCCGGGGTAAGTCGGGCTCGGCATCCCGAAAAACGAGCCCGAGTCAGCCCTGACCCGAGCTGCCCCTGATGCTTCGGGGCTCTGAGCACGGGAGGCGGGCACCGCCGCCGGAACGAGGGGCGGCAGGGCGCAGAGGCGGGCGGGGGGGAGGCCGGCACACGCAGGAGCCCAAAGGGGGGACGGGGCCCGAGGCGGGGGCGAACGAGCGAGCGGGGAGGGCAGGGACGAGGCGGCACGCGCACGCACCCGCGCGGGCGGCGACTGCAGCGGCCACGGCCGGACCGCCACGCGCGCCCAGCCCCCGCCGCAGCGCCCGCAGAGCCCGACGGTGCACGCCCAACCGCGGCGGCGGCGGCGGCGGCGACGGGGCCAAGAGGTCCCCGGGAGGCCACCAAGAAGCGACCAGAGGCCAACCAGAGGCCCCCCCAAAATCACCCCCCAGGTGGCGCCCGAGGAGCCCCAAAAGGGCCTCCAGGAGGTCCTACAGGAGGCCTTCCAAGGGAACCACGGGATGCATTCAGGAGGCCTGCAATCCAGAATCCGAGCACGTGGCGGAAAAGGCGGAAGGCCACCAGACACCTTCAAAGCCTCAGTTAACAAGCGGACACACACACACAGAGGAACATACACGCATATACTTTTTGCGTCGGCGGCTAGGCAGAAACTGCGCTAGCGGATAAGGCATGTGTACGGCATACAAATGCGAATGAAGCCGCAATGCAAGAGAGGGGAAGATGGAAGCCCAGTACGGGCGGCACACACACAAGCACACGCAACTGTGCCATTGCAGCAGCATGCTGCGAATACCCTCCCCAAATGGAGCATTATAGTTAATGCGGCATGGCTGGACCACGAACGCACGTGGCACCCAACACAAGATCACTCGAGCGCGTCAAGACAACGAGCTTCGTTTCTTGCAACAGCCTCTGGGCTGTATATACGTGTATATATAACGTAAGCCTAAAATGCACAAAAAACGGCTGATCCAGGAAATGGGCCAGTCTGGGGATGATCCGCAATGTGATAGGATGCTAAGCGAGCGAGAGACGTCAGCACACAGAGGCTAAACATGAACAGCTCCTTCCCTTCCAGGGGAAGCAGTAAAAAAGAACAAAGAACGTCTTCGTATGTAACTGATGCCGGCCGGGTATGTATTTATGTACGTGGCACGTGCGTGCCCAAGCTCATACATGCACAGATGCACGATACGAATGTGGTGTGTCATGTGTGGTCTGTGCGTGCTGTGTTTCGATATTTTGTGACGTGCTTGTGTATGCGGTGTGTGAGTCATGTGTGGGCTCTGTGTGTTCTGGGTGTCATGCATGTTGTGCGTGTGTGTTAGGTGTGCAGTGCGTTGCGTGTGTCACGTGCTCTGTGTGATGTGACCGCTGTGTGTATGATATGTGTGATATGTTTGTGCGTGTGTTGTGTGTTGTGCGTGTTGTGCGTGTATTGTGTTGTGTGTTGTGTGTGCTATCAGTGCGTACTGTGTGTGTGTCGTCGGTTGTCAATGTGTGTGTTCTGCGTGTGCTGTGTGTGGTGCGTTGTGTGTGGTGTGTGTCGCTAGAACCAAGCTTTCCTTCTCTGAAGCAGGCGACTCTCGTTTCTTATCCCTGGAAACACGACGCCCCCGTCACGTTTCCATGCGGAACCCGAAGTGTCACCCGAGATCCCCATCAGACCGAATCCAGGTCAGGGAACGGCGGCAGCAGCAGTGGAGAGCACACGGCGAGCACAGTTATGACGATACGCAAGGTAATGTTGCAGCGGGCTGTAGGCACCGCTCGCTACCATCCGAAGCAAAGAATTACGGAATCTATACGTACATGCACACATACATACCTGCATTTATGCACATGCATGCATATGATACGATCACATCACTGACGGGTGTTTGTACAAGTAAAAAACTGCACTCGGGATGCGCGTGAAAGCTGGGGCGCAACAGGAGCACACCAGCACCCCGAGTCCTCTTTTCATGCCTAGACAGAAGAGGGACGTGCTAGAGTATATCTGAATACGGATGTGGATTACTGGAATGTTGACAAGGGCTTGATGGTGCATTGCGGCAATCGCCGCAAATAGCTGCAAGGCCCATATTTCAATCACAAAACTCATGCATGGAAATATGGACAAATCGCAGTCCGCATGCAAGTCATGGGCCTCTGGCTGCGCGGTCAAGAGCACGCAATGCTGGTGAACCACGCTTCTTCGACTAGGGCCAAATCCCGCTATGGCCACAAATCGAAGCACAATCCTGGCACAAAGCGAAACGCACAGAAACAGAGTCCGCCTGGGCTGAACCTGGTAAATGCTGCACCGGGGACGCACAGCACACGCAGCATTCGGCGACATCGCAGGGTTCTGGTCCTGCATCAACTGATCACCCACCATTCACTTGCCCAACGCATTGGCCAACAACCGATGCGCATTCTTCAGCTCTGTGCTAGCAGCAACTGCACCTGCGGGGGATTATGCTCAATGGCTGGGTTCAAACACCTC